CCATGACCAAACTTGATGGACTTGATGGGAAAGAACTAACAATATAACAAGCATATAAAGAATATATATGCAAGGTTAATTATTAATATTTTTTTAAAAAATCAATCCTTTTGTTGAAAAAGAAACCATACCTTTTGCAATTCTATAATGGCACCGGACTGAAATCTTACCCCAGGCCCTGCCTCCTCTCTCACCAGTCTATTGAATGCCGCCATACTCAACTCTAGCTCTCTATCTAATCTCCTCGGCTATTATAATTTTAGTGTAAGCAATATGAAAATATCTGAATTTCTAAAAAAAAACAGCAAAGTTTATAAAAAGTTACTTCTTCATCTTCGTCTGTTTCATCATCAGCTTCATATTCATCTTCTTCAGTTTCGTCATCATCTTCATCTGTTTCATCATCAGCTTCATCTTCAACTACATCAGTTTCGTCATCAGTTTCAAATTCAGCTTAAACCTCAGATTCAATTTCGGATTCAACTTCAGATTCAACTTCAGCATCATCATCTTCGATCTCAACAATAGCCTTATCATTCTCCTCCTCATCAGAACTAGAATAACATCAAGGATTTAAAATGGACGTAAAATTAGTGTTTTCTGAATATTTGCACATAGCTACGATACATGATTGCTTTTTGTGATAATAACTAGAGTGACGGCAAGTGGTGATAACCACCATTCTTTTTAATAAACTAGAATGATCTCAAACACCATTTTTTAAATAATAACTATAGTGCAAGTCACTTAGTCGCTGAACTTTTTGTGCCATGATGCCAATTTTTCAAAAAAACTAGAGTGACGAGTGGTGGCGATAACTGCCACCATCATTCTTACGATAAACAACACTTACCCAGTAATTCCTTCTTGGATTCTTTTATTTTTTTTTATAAAATAAAAAGAATTTGTTGATTGGTTGAACAGGAGAGACCGTCCTATATAAGGAATGGATTTTCACAATTGATTTCAATTTTTTATACAGTTTAAAATACTTTTACAAGGGTATCATGTAGCCCATTCTTGCAATAAATCATGTGTAAATAATTA